TTATCCATGCTAGTCGCTAGCCTCTATGATGCTAACACCAGCTTATCCATGCTAGTCGCTAGCCTCTATGATGCTAACACCAGCTTACCCATGCTAGTCACTAGCCTCTCCAATGCTAATTCCAGCCTATCCATGCTAGTCGCTAGCCTCTATGATGCTAACACCAGCTTACCCATGCTAGTCACTAGCCTCTCCAATGCTAATTCCAGCCTATCCATGCTAGTCGCTAGCCTCTCCAATGCTAACACCAGCCTATTCATGCTAGTCACTAGCCTCTCCAATGCTAATTCCAGCCTATCCATGCTAGTCGCTAGCCTCTCCATTGCTAACACCAGCCTATTCATGCTAGTCACTAGCCTCTCCAATGCTAACACCCGCCTACCCATGCTAGTCAGTAGCCTCTCCAATGCTAATTCCAGCCTATCCATGCTAGTCACTAGCCTCTCCAATGCTAAAATAAGCTTATCCATGCTAGTCGCTAGCCTCTGCAATGCTAACACCAGCTTAACCATGCTAGTCGCTAGCCTCTCCAATGCTAACACCAGCTTATCCATGCTAGTTGCTAGCCTCTCCAACGCTAACACCAACTTATTCATGCTAGTCGCTAGCCTCTCCAATGCTAACACCAGCTTATCCATGCTAGTCGCTAGCCTCTCTGATGCTTACGGCAGCTTCTTCATGCTAGTCTCTAGCCTCTCCTATGCTAATGCCAGCTTATCCATGCTAGTCGCTAGCCTCTCTGAGGCTAACACCAGCTTGTCCATGCTAGTCTCTACCTCTCCGATGCTAACACAAATGTCTCCTCATTTGCCAGTGCCAGCCTCTCAGTACTTGGTGCCGACCTATCACAGTCTTAATTTTGGCCCTCATACCGCACCATACCTTTTATCATCTGTTTGCAGAGTTTTTAGAGCACAGAGCTTTTTCCTGCACCAGCAATGACTCAAATAATATCTAAGTACTTTAAAATACTGCTACAAGTGTCACTTTTATGAGTATACGTCACTTTTATAATAACTAAAAGTTATGTTTGTTGTTGAACAAATCCAGGTTGTGTTTTGCAAGCACTGCACCTCTTTTTTTACCACTTTCTCCCTAAAACATTGTAYAGAAAATCTAATAATTTATGAGTCTTATCACAGAGTTAAATATAAGGTGGTTCAAATTAAATCCCTCACCTCATTAATTTATTTTGTATATATCAGCACAGCTCGTCCCTGATCATTTCTTGGTGAATGAATCATTATTTGTGCAACATTTTGAGATTTATTTTCCTAATCCTTTTGATTTGTGTGATGTAGCCTGTATATGTCGCCTGAGGAACATGTTCACCCTGAAGCACACAGAATCTGACATGTTTGTCTGCAGGAGCTGCACTACAGGTTCTGTAACTGGAGCTTCATGCACGGTCAGCAGGAAGTTGGAACATTTCAGGTTTGTTGAGTTTATTCATGTCACTGTGATGCATCGTGGATTCTGTATCATGTTTAGCACTAATGGACTTTTTCTTTTCCTGCACCTTCTCCTTCTGGTTCCGAGCTTTGATGATCTTGGCAGCGAGAGTCAGACCAGATGACTTCTCCAGGCACTTGTAGACTTGTCCRAAACGACCCCTGATGAAGGAAAAACAAACACGTGGAGGAGTGAAGCTCATGTTATATTAGAGCTTTTTGTTTCAGCTTTTAAAATGAAAAATGATGGTTGGTCTGAATTTGATCTTAAACATCAGAGCTACTTTTATACATCGAGCCTCATAAGGTGCCAAGTGTAAAAGAAAATGTTAAAAATGTCACTTTCTGAGTGTAAATCCTAGTTAAAGGTTTACACTAACATTTTATTGTTATTTAGCTCAATGGGCCTCATGCAAGAACATGTTCGTATTCTTMTCCTAAATTTCTCTTACTTTTGTTCGTACAAAGGGTTCGTACGAACATGTCACGTCAGATTCAACAAACTCTTCTATCTTCAGGAAAAGTGTGTAAATGAGCTGCGTAAATTCCACCTGTTCGTATCCAGCTGCTCGTGCACGCGAGAGGAGATTAGCATAATTACCACCCCAAAAACACCATATAAGGCTGTGTTTCCTGCCTCAGATATCAGGAAGTGTCCATTCATGAAAATGAGAGCGAAAATTAAAAAGAAGAACTTTACGAGTTCAGAGATTGAAGTCCGTCAGAGATCCAGAAAAGAAAATCTGTCATTTTTAGCAGGTCAGCTGTGGAATAAAAAGAGCTGCTAAATGTATAAACAACTGTGTTAAATCATTTTCATTTATTCAGAAGCCACAGCGTTGCACACTGTACACCCCCACACCCCCCCACCCCTCGAGGTCGAGGTGTGTCAAAGCAGAGAAAACATAAAAAACATGCAGGATCAGCCCTGCAGGACCAGGGTTGGTCATTGTGTTTGTATAAAAGGCGGTTACTGCCCACATACTGTAGGTCATTAATCTTTAAGTCAGTAATCTTCACTTTGAGGCTGCATTTAGCTGCAGTCCATTACATCACACAGGAATGTTGAAATGCATTTACCCGCCCTGAGGGTCTCAATCAGTTTTAGGAGGCATCCTTTAAAATGAAAACCGTTAGCTCAGCTCATCACTGGCTGTAAAATCTTCTGTCATTTCATTAGAGAGGATCAAATCTTCTTTGAGTCCGATGGAAATAAACCTTCAACTCACCCGCCGAGGACCTCGTCTCTGTTTATGGTGTAATAGGTGGCGATCTGATGGGGCTTGGGGGTCACGATGCGGTGGTCGAAAGGTGCTAACGGTGGGGGGCTGGAGTCTGGGAAAGAAGAGGACATGAAGGGTGAAGCGGGGAGGTCCAACAGGTGTGTGACATCATCATTAAAGATCAACGTTCACTCTGAACCCTCACCAATTGTGAAGTCTTTCACGGCCGAGGTTTCAGCTTTAGCTTCGGCCTTTGCTTCAGCAGATTTTGGGGTCTCCTCCTCGGGTTTCTCAGTGTTGTCCTCCACTCTGTCCTCCACTCTGCTCTTCTTCAGGTCGTCCTTCACCACCAGGTCTTCCTCTGTGACGCGACGTTTGCTAGAAGCTCCAGCATCGTCGGAGCTGCGGATGTTTCAGAAACAAAATAAATCATGACTCATTTTTCTCGGCTGTGTGAGGAGAACAAAAGCCGCTCCATGTTGGACATTAATACCTCTCCTGAGAGTCCGTGTCCTTTTCTTTTTCTTCTCCTTTGAGACTTGTCTTTGTGCTACCCTCCACCTTCCTGCTCTGTTCTGTCAAATCATCTGCCTCCTCTTCCTCCGTGTCGTCAAACAGATCCTCTTTACCTATGGGGCAGTGTGAGGGCCAAAATTTAGACTATTGCACAACCAGTGGTTGCTACATTTTTGTAGCGGGAGGCTATATCTGTCCCTAAGCCAGCGACTGATCTGATTAATGATAGGACGGCCCCAGTAMTTGAGAGGCCGGTGCTGGCAAACATGAAAAATACTATTCAGATGTGTTAGCATCAGGGAGGCTAGCGACTAGCATGGATAGCACTGGGAAGGCTAGCAACTACCATGGATAAGCTATCAGAGAGGCTAGCGACTAGCATGGATAAGCTATCAGAGAGGCTAGCGACTAGCATGGATAAGCTATCAGAGAGGCTAGCGACTAGCATGGATAAGCTATCAGAGAGGCTAGCGA